ATCCCCGGAAAATCCACTAACCGATCACGCCACATGTCTCTCAGTTGCGAACAGTCCCTGGTCATTTTCAACAGCATATAGAACCACTCCCAGAACGTGAAGTTCCTGTCGGGCAACGCGTCCTTGCAGAACTGTGTCCACGACACTGTCATGCCGTTCAGTTCCAAAGCGCTTAACGGTACGTTTGATCTGGGAAGGTCACATTTTTATAACTTAGTTTCTGCCTTGAAATTTTATCAGACAATAATATTCCATAAATTGGTTGCATCGGGAATCGAACCCACCATATGTAGTACATACAAAACAAAATTATTTAGTCCAGTATCGTTAACTGTAAGTAAAAAGCGGTTAATTCATCCCTTTCAATAATAATGGAAGTAATTTTGCACCCTTGACGTAATAAGGCCACATCTGGAAAAACACAAACTTTCAGTAAAGAGGTTGAATTATTCTACGAACGAATACGTTAGTCGATAAGTTTTTTGTATTTAAATATGAGCGCTATGAAATCTGACATAATTTACATTTTTTGTTCCATGTAGGTCGTATTTTTATGACTTTCGTTACAGTATGATTTAATCATTGTTACACTGTTACAATTTTTACATTTTCAGCTGTTTCTGCTTTGTCACAAAATCTAAAAAAAAAATGTATTTTAAGTATAAAAATTGAAAAAAACAACAAAATCACTATAATACAATTCATTTAAAAAATAAATTAATTACACAATTACGTCAATCCACAACGTAGGCTTCGCCAAGAAGGCACAATTATAAATCAGCAACAGACTTCGTAATATAAAAATTAATAATTCTTATCCAACTATTACAATGAAAAAGGACCGCTCTGAATCTTAGCTGGTTTAAAAGTCCCCATAACACTGGAAGTATTACCGCGCTGAATGGCCAACAAAATATGTTGCACCAAGTAAGATCTAGTGCGTGGATCACAGCCTTTATCTCTAAGCCGACAACCCGATGAATTATTTAATAATTGTCTTTGATTTTACTTTCGTTTGACATATGATTACATGTTGCTTTATCCACAGAACGATAAATACAGTAGAGGTGCTTAGTTTGCGTGTCACGTGTGCCAAGAGTCCGCGGAGTTCCGCAAACTTGAGCTCAGTGCTCCATTTTCGCTGTGTACGTGTCAATTATCTCGCGCAAAACCTCGAAAATTGTAACAAATATCCTTATTTGCAAAAAATTATAGTCACTCTTGTAATATTATCTATGGTGATGTTTCAAATCCATATTAAGTTAATTTTAATAAATTTCAATTTTCTTATACCGCTGCAATATGATCGCTTCTTTTAGGGAGAACTAAAAAACACCTCGAATTCGGCGTCGTTTAGCTATTAACCGCTAGATGGCAGCACATTGTTTGAAATTTGAAAATAAAATTTAAACGTCGTAACTTGCAATGATAGATATTGATAGTATTGAAGTTTCAACGATATGCCAACAAGTTAAAGTGTAAATTATATTAATACTCCAGAATGTCTTTTTGAAATTTGAAACTACGACCAATCATTATCAAGATTCCATAGTGTTTCAAATTCTGAATGTGTGATTTTTAGCGACAGCCATTCTGATAGTAATATAAATTAATTCCGTGGCTTTATAACACCAAAGGTACGGTTTATAATGTTCACTAATTGATTACAACATAGAACACGAAAATTTTTATTTAACTATGTAAATAATAATTGATGGTTTGACTAAAACAGTTACACATATATAACATACCTAAAGATCTTTTCTGCAAGAAATCTAAGGTTATCCTCAGACAGGTCTCCACCTGTAGCTGACAAAAACTTGATGCGTAGGGTCTCTGCCAGCTGGCCCCAGGTCACCTGTGTGAGTATCACAATAGTTTAATAATGGACCAATGACTCAAAAGGAATGCCAGTCGCGATACAAGAAAGCAAAGTCGGGTATGTCGACCCCTACTACGTAAAGTATCGTATGTCGAAATTGCCAAGTTTAGATGAACAACCACAATTTATTTTATAATTTTACAGGCTATGTTGAGTATTTGCGTTCTTAATTCTAATTACATGTGTTAAGTAACTATTTCCACTTCGGTGGGAGTCTTTTGTAAAATGTATAATACTTTTTGAAAAAAAAATATTTAAAAAGAGATTTGTTTTTTTAAGGATTTTTCTAAATATTCCGAAAAATTAGTGGTCGTAGTCTACATAAATCTAGCCTATCTCAAGTAATGTTAATTTTTCATGTACTTGATTGTGATTTCTCCAATCCCGAATAGATCCAGGACATTAAATTATATATATAATCCTCTTGGCACGCTTTACAACTGAATCCAAAGTGGCCATTGGGTATTTCGCCGAACCATTCCACATTTGATAATCTTGTAGAATACAGATAAGCAACAATACGGTGTCACTTTGTCGCGTTGTAAGTTTACCTTGTCAGGTACCGCGAATGGCACCCTGCCGGGCGGGCTGAAGGCGTTGTCCCATGTCACCGTGGCCCAGCCGTGGGGCTCTTGGTTGCCATGCACGATTACCACCACCGGCAAGGACAGGGTCCACACCTGAAAATAACAATGCCATATTTTTTTTATGACCCAAACAATGGGACGAACAAAATCTAATATACATATAAAAATGTGCAATGTACATGTAATGGATTCAAACTAATATATAAATACAGCAAGAAATCGAATTTTTTTTACGCATTCAACATAGGCCCGCACTAGTGTCGCGCGTGTCTTGGACACACACAAATTACACCCAAACTCACGAGAGAAATAATGTAGGCTATACAAATATTCTCGGCCGGGGATCGAACATGAGACCTCTGCGTGGTAGTCTGGCATGGTAACTGTTCGGCCACAGAGGCAGTTTATTTATGTATAAATATAGCTATCATTGAATTCCAGAATACTGAAAATGGTTTAACTGTTTAACTGGTTTAACGAAGTTGCATTTTAAAGTAATTCTAATGGTGCCACGTAAAAAAAATCAGTAGATAACTGACAGCCTTGTTGCCGTTCCGTTCTTGTGACCTTCAATATGCGGGGCGCGGTGCGGTATCCAAAGCTAGGAAGAGGCGGGGAGTGACCATTCCCGTTCGTTTACACTTCAAAACCGGACGATGATGATCATTAAAAAAAACATTATTGAGAATTATCTGGTCTTAAAATAGAGTAAGTGCCTCCCAATGTTCATTCGCTGGCTCCATGGCCGAACGGTTACCATGTTCGATTCCCGGGCCGGGAGAAATATTTGCATGGCTTACATTTATTTCTCTCGTGAGTTTGGGGGTAATTTGTGGTTGTCTATGTGTGTGTCCATGGCATCCGCGACACAGTTTCCCTAAAGCGGGGCTATGTTGAGTGTGTGCGTTATTTAATTATTTTAATGTTGAACTGAGTTGGAAGGACAGCATCAATTTATCACCTAATTTCATAAGAGATACATAGTCATCATGGACTGTGTGCAGCTGGAAAATAAGGTCTCAATCTTAGAATAGTAACGCATAGAATGATAGTTTCATATCAAACGAACAGTCACAAGTGAGGCAAAAATCAAATTCATGTAGGCTAGTTTTAGTAGTAGGTTAATTTTCGGTTTTAGTGAATATTCATATAAAAATACAAGTTGAAAAGCGTTACTTCCTTGTGGAATGTGATGTTAGTACCTATTTTGTTTGTCTGACGTATTTTTACACTCATTTACCGCACATTTCGTCATTTTTAGCTAAAATTCTTGATCTGTTCGCGGTGCAAGTTGACCTTGAGCACTGAAGGCCCGCCCGCTCGTGTAGGCCCATTGGGAGCGCTTCAATTTGCCTCACTTAGCGTGTGCGGACTCGGTTTCTATGCGTTATTATTCTAAGGTCTCAATGTCAACCAGTGGACTGTACCTACCTGGAAGACGAGCTCGCCCCCACCGACGTTGAACTCTGACTGGAAAAGCAGTGTCAGCTTCTCATCCATCACGCTCTCTGTTCCTTTCTTTTCAGCGCGTTTAATTTTGCGTAATTGCATGTTCCTGAACGGAAATACATAAATATTGATTGAACGAATGAATTGAATGAATGAATGAATAAAATATTATTTATTGCACTTTAAAAATTAAATAGTCATTCAAGGAAAAGATAATACTATTTTTATTTAAAACTCGCAACCCACTAAGGCTGATAACAGATGGTCTGCGTGCAGTTAACGCATGCAGTCGTGATCAAATGCACGCAGTTGAAAGTTTAACTGCAAGCGTTTAATGCCATACATAAACATCGAGTATATAACCAGAAATAGAGACTATATAAGGGCCATCCATACCTGGCAACTCATCAGGTAAATGGGTCATATATCACTTTTAAATATCAACTCCTGTTTGCGCTGAAGTCACAAATTAGAAAGCTGAAATAGTACAACGCCAACAACTGACCTGTGTGTACGTCTCCGTATGTTCCCAAAATATTCTGTATTTATTGTAATAAAGATAATATCTCTAACAATGGCGTGCTGTTCCATTCGGTGGTGTGGGAAAAACAGCAAAACATCTAATTACAAAACAGACGGAATCACATTTCATCGGTAATTAAGAATTAAATACGTGTAATTTTTCAATTTTCGTCCATTATAGGAAAGCTCAAGTTAAACTGGCCGATTTGAAGTGAAACAATTGACGACACCCGTCAATTGTTTCGAATACGGGCTGGCCAATCGGAGCGCAGTTGTCACCGTAATGATTTGGCAGAATAGTTTTCAAAACAAATGACATTTCGTCTCTATTTCTGATTATATACTGTTGGCGTAAGTTGTAAGTTGGAATAAGAATAGAATAAAAGTGGATTATTTTTTATAAAAACTCCAAACATATTTAGAAGATCTTATCACTTCGCCGTAGAAATGTAACCACGAGGTTTGAACCTACCTGAAGCTCACGCTGAGCTGTCTGCTGGCCGGCTGATACTCCATGGTGCCAGTGTTGTTCAGAATGTCTCCGCACTCCTGCGGCGGCTTGCCGCGACTGGTAGTGGCCGTGCACTCGCTTTTCAACAGCTGCTGTGCTTGCTGCTCCGATATTATGATTACCTGACGACAAAACATATTTTACTTAAAACACGGCGCACATTAATACACTCCCGGAAACATTTAACGGAACAAATCGTTCGTCCTTGGTATCACAAAAAACTCAGAAACAACGATTCGTGGCCGAGTCGGCAGAGCGGTAGCCACGTTGAGGCTACACATGCTGGTTCGAGTCCATTAAGATTTTATTTTTTTTATTTAAGAAATGAAACTATTTTCACGGATTTAAATCGCGTATACATATTTGTTTTTTCAAACAAACCGACGTTTCGGGGCCTTTACAGGTCCCATGGTCACGGTTGTTTTTTATTTATTTATTAGGTTTACCAACGTCTGTGTACAATATTACTTATTTATATCTTATCATACAAATAAAGATCTTATGGGCGCTGCCACTGCGCCCGTCGCCATGAGACATTGACAAGTCCCATGTGCCTGTAATTTCACCAACACCCTTACCCTTATAAACTGGAAGGCCGTAATGCTCACATTACTGCTTGGCGGCAGAAATAAGTAAGGTGGCAGTACTTTCCTGGGCGAACTCTTTCACAAGGAGCTCTACTGCTACTTTCCTCTCGTATTCAATCTGTATTTGCGTCATACTAGTGAATAAAGTGTTTATCTATATATCTTTGTATAAAATTATAACAAACTGCCTCCATAACCGAACGGTTACCATGCCGATTGCCACGCAGAGGTCCCAGGTTCGATTCCAGGGCCGGAAGAAATATTTTTAAGACTCATAGCACCCGCGTTGAGTGTGTGCGTTATTATTATTATTTAATTCGTTAGATACTTAGGAAATGAAACTATTTTTACGGATTTAAATCGCGTATATTTGTTTTTTTCAAACAAACCAACGTTTTGGGCCCGTTACAGATCCCATGGTCACGGTTGACTGAAGTGGTACAGTCATGTTAGATACTATTTTCACAAAAAATATACATGGTTGTAAAAACATATCCTGATGTTCATTTGATGATTCAATAAAAATTTATTAAAGTTACCGTTTTTTAAAATTGTTTAAAACACTTACGCTGACTCGAGGAGGGGTCATGTAGACGTTGAGCTGCCCACCAACCAGGAGACGTACCGTGGCCGTGAAGCTGGAATAAACATTGACATTATTGAAAGGATTAGGGTGTTTCATTTTTCCAAAGTTGTGGTTTTCATGTGACTTTGCTTACTCCCCGAGTCTCATTGTTGTATAAGATGTATATACTGAATTTCAAGAAGATTGGATAATATTTAGAAGTTGCACACTTTGGTCCCTTCTGAAATTTCGAAATTTAATTTTTTGTAGTTAATTGCACTTTGAAGTGGGAACCATAATAGGAAGCTTAGCTACTAGAATACCGACCTACCTACCTTGTAGTAAGTTTTTAGGATCTCGGAGTCCCCAAAGGAATAGGATTGGACAACATCAGACAACATTACATACGTCGCACTGATCCCAAAGTAAGTAACTAAAGCACATATGTTATGAAAATTGGAAATAATGACGCTGTCACAAACACCCAGATCCGAGACATTCTATATTGTCAATTTCTTCAGTTTGTTAGTTAGGTCAAGTCGGTTTTTCTACATTATCCGGCCGCGGATCATACCCGGTACCTCAGATATGGCGACACCATGAAAACCGATGTACAAGCCACTTGACCACGGAGATCGTCAATCCAAAGCATTCTGAACGTCGGTAACCATCCAAGAGAAGATTACAAAGAGTTATTACAACTCGTACTCGTGTACCCAGGAAGTTGGTCTAGAAACGACTTCAGTTTAAAAATTACAGGGAGTCTGGATATCAAGCAATATGGATAGCAAAGGCAATAATAATATGTATTTAAAATTGTCCTCTTCACGAATCAGTTGAATATATGTACCTCAACGTGAATTGAAAAGAATGCAATAAATTGCACATTTTGTCAGCCTCATACACGTTCAATTTTGGCACGAGACTATTGTAAGTCGGTAGGCTCCAAAGAATGTTTTGTATAAACATACAACTTCTGAGCACTTCAAAAATTACTAGGAGCCACTTCTGACAGAAACAAACGTAAGATTGGTTGTTTTGGACAGGAAAATATAGTTAAACATTTATAAACCAGATGTACAAATAAAAAGAAAATTAAAAGATCAGAGGGTAAAAAGTTCGATTTGGAAGGAACAACTTTGAGCCAACAAGAAAACAAACGACTGTTTGAATTGTTAGGGTTCCTCGACGTGACGGAATATTTGCGTGAATCTCTGAAAAGCCTCTGGTCAATAGTACGACAGAAAGAGCTTGAGAGATATAGAGAAATTGCTCTGATAAAAAAGTTTAATGAGTCAGTCACTGACGAACAACAAAAACAAAATTCTTGTTGAGATTAGTAGTACATTACAGAAAAGTCGTCACAAAGTGAACATTAGAAGGGATTGTATCGTTGAAAGTGAAATTACGGATACATGGTACTTGTCAACTTATGTCTTAGATTGCTGCCTTATGATGTGCGCCGTGTTAGTGCCCCTCAGATCCTTGTGATTTAAAGATCTGAGTGGCACTGCAACTGTTATGGACAGGCGTGTCGCTTACCACCAGGTACACGACTTGTTCGTCCCGTCACTTGATGTAATTTTGAGAGGTAAATGTTTTTTCTTTTAAACCTAACCTAACCGAACCCAATCGTGTCTTTGTAACAAACATCCAACATATCCTAAGAGAGCAACGGTTTCCTTATAATTCGGTGTAATGAAAATTCGAACGAACGTTATTTCGGAAAAAAAAATTCGAGTTTGTAATAGGTTACCATAATTACTCCTATTATTATACTTAGTCCTTAAGGTATATATTATCTGGTCATGTGGCCAGAAATAAAAAAATAAAAAAAATAACTGCCTCTGTGGCCGAACGGTTACCATGCCGGACTGCCACGCAGAGGTCCCAGGTTCGATTCCCGGGCCGAGAGAAATAGTTGTATGGCCTACAATTATTTCTCTCGTGAGTTTGGGTGTAATTTGTGGTTGTGTATGTGTATGTCCATGGCACCCGCGACACAGGGTTTCCCTAGTGCGGGGCTATGTTGAATGTGTGCGTTATTTATTTATTTAAAATTGTGCAATAATTCGATGTAATTATAAAAAAAACCGACCCCTAAAAGTATGTTAATCCGTTTCTGCTGAGTTTTATTTGCCAAGTTTTATTGAAGTCAGTTAACCGAAAGTGGGATGATTCATCCCCTTATTTGTCACCCTTAGAGGTGGAATATTTTCTTCAAATTTAAATGGGATCAATACTGAGGTACTCTCTTTCCAAGAAAGAAAGAATCATCGAAATTGGTTCACAAATGGGGTAAATGCGTAACAGACACACAAAAAATGTTTTCATGTTTTTGTGTTTGCTTGGGACTGACATTACAGACGTTTTATCTCTCTATCTATCCACTTACCGAGTGTTGGTCTTCATGACCTGCGGAGGTTGCTTCTCAATCACGAAGGTCGAAGTCACGAGGGTCGAGAGCAGACTCGTTACCTTGTTGAACAATAGAAACAACCATCAACATGCTTAGTTTACGTCATCACCAAATGTCAAAACCCTATAAGTGGGTTAAATTTCGTTCAACGATTTCTTGAACTGTAACTTTAGCAACATTTGTAACAATAGTTCCGAACTTTAGCGTTGGCATAGAAAACGCAATTTCTGAATCGCAGTGTTAAGATTTTCCCTAAGC